TATCAAATATTGATACATATTGCAACTTTTACTACCTTTGGGGACTTTTATGGCTGCTTAAAACTGACTGTAGGTTTTTAGCAAACAAAGCATTCTCCCAGCTGCTGATTACTGTAAAGTTGGCCATACACGTGGCAACTTTTAAGCAAATTCAACCAATCTTGATCAACTGGGAAATGAAAGCTGCCTTGTGTATGGCCAGCTTAAGTGGATATGGATTAAGTGACAACGCATTATTTTTAAAAATATATATCTCTATATTGTGAAATTTCCAAGCGAAACCACCAGGATAAGGATCCTGATTTAAAGAAAAATTACTTTTATTTTCAGCTTTGTCCAATAAGATTTGAAAATCAAGCACACGTTTGAAATAAAATGTCTTACCCTTGTGCTAAGGTTTTGTGAATTAAGCCTTATGTCTTCTTTTCTAATCTTATACCTGTGATAAAAATTGTATTCAACAGCTGCACTAAGCCTATACTTTTTGTAATAAATTAACCTAAAAAAGTAAGAAAAGTAAAAGTATCCTTTGTCCCTTGTATTCTTCAAACAGGCACAGCAGACCGCTTTCACATACAGTGTATATGGTATTACAAGTTACTGCATTTATTTACATACCATCAATTCCCAGGACGCATTCCTTTTTGTTTTCCGGGCAAGGTTCGAATTTAGCCACTATGTCCAGGCAGTATTCTTTAGTTACATTCATCATCTGCAGTACAAATAAAGGAAAAAGAGATAAATCCAAACTGGCTAATCTGATTTCACAAGCCTGTACCATCACCCTTTATTGGATCCAGCAATCCAATTTTCTGACCTAATGCTGGAGGGCTGCTAATCTCCCAATAAGATCCCCGGGACCGTCAATCAGTGTCAAGTTCAATAGCAAACATCAGATGTTACCACTTATTAATGGATGCTCATAGGGACTGATGAAGTGCTGAGCCCAATTCTAAGTTTGGAGGTCATATTGTTTTGAAGGTATTAAGCCTGTGGGATATCAGTTTAAACAACACTCCAGTAGGATTGTCACATGGGGTCTTGTACTGGGGGATTAAGGGATTCACTTATCCTATTTAGCTTACAATATATGGCAACCAAAATTGCTTGACCTTTTAAAATGCACAGAGACTCAGAGAAAATTACAAAGTGTATACTGAAAGATAAAAAGGATTACAGAAATAACATAGATTCAATGCTCAGACTTTATGCTTTTTTTGAGCAAAATTACTTAGAAAACTTTATTTTTTTAAAGGCCTCCAAAGTTTATAGTTTCAGTAACAAAGGTCAGTTCATCCAAAACCGAGATCTCAGCTTTTGGATTATGATGAAGAATGGAGTTAAAAATGTCTTGTAACTTCCAGGGACTCTATAGGTGAGAACATGCACAGCTTGTGGCTCGACAGGAACAGAGTTAGGAATTACTGAAGGGAGATCTCACTGTTGGAGTAACAGCCATAAAAGAAACGTGGGGGTCTCACTCTTCCTTTAGAATTCTGAAAAACTATGAAGAATGCTGCAGAAAAAATAAGACTCCTTTGGTTAGCTTTGTAAAAGTGACAGGAATAGAACTAGGAACTGCAGCAGTAAAATAGCACTGTTGGAGTCCCCAAGACAAACAAGGAGTCAATGAATGATTTAAAAGTAAAACTCCAACCAAGACGTTTTAATTTTGGATACAGTGAAGGATTACGGGCTCTGCTGGGTTTTTATAACTGTCTGTTTGCTAAATGGGCAGAGTTCCACTCACATCCTGTTTGGTCACTGAAACAGGAAGTGATACAAACACCCTCTTCAATAGGGACACAAACAGCAAAAAAAAGTTTTTTGCCTTTTTTCTTTTAAATGTGGGGATGTGTTAGAACTTCTGAATGTTTATTTGTATTCTCTGTATTTAATCAGGAAAATGTCCCTTCACTTTCTGTCTCATCTAGTACACAGGAGAATTTGGGGTAAATCTTCTCAACAGGGAAAACAATAATGAAAACCTGACACATAACCAAAAGCCCCTTCTAAACCAGTTCCAATGTAACTCTCCATTGGCTACCCAAAATTGAATATTTTATCAGAAATGAAAATTATCACAGTTTCAGCTAAAAAAAAAAAAATGAACCTCATGCTAAAATAACCCCGTTTTTCATTTAAAGTTACATTAATATATAAAGTAGTATAATCAATAACCGACTTGAAGTGTAATAACCTAAAATTAAACAGCAGCCAAATCTGCTTGAAAAAAAAAAAAGATTCCCTTCTGCAACATCATTATGCAAAGATTGACATGCTTCAATTACTTTGATTAAAGGATTGTTGTCTATAGCCATCTCCCAAATCTCAAACCCAATCATCTACAGTGTCATCTTGCTTGGTTTCCTCTCTCATTTTTAATAGATTTCCCTAATGATAAATGGCTTTCTCCGTTCCAGTTGAATTCTGGGAATTCTCTATTGCTGCTATTCCAGATTGAACTGCATATGTGAAAATCAGTGCATCAAATCACAGTTTCTTCTCCAAAAATGTGATCATGGTGCCTTTTTTTTAGGAGTCTGATTACTTCTTTTCTCTTGTATTTTAAAAATTGTTTCTGGGTATGAAAATTAGTTTTAAAATTATCTCCTGTATATGATGTTTTGGAATGTAGAGAGCATCCCAGGCTATAAGTAAAATCAGTAAATAGGTAAAACCAGTGACCTGTTAGAAAGTCCACTGAACCAACCTCAAAGTATACCAGTCTTCAGTGAGTATACAAACTGTCAGTATAATTGGCATGCATTCCATTTATTCTTTGGGGCTGGGCTCAAAAGAAATGGGCAGAATGATGCTAGTGTCATTCTGATTGAAGAAGACTGTTGACGCTGGACAGAGGAAGAAGTCGATGATGGCAAGTAGAGATTGGCAATATATATTTTACATAGAGGTAAAAAGGTAAATACATTTTTGCAGCATTTGGCATTGGGGCACAATGAATAAACAGACCTTTCCTGCAGTGCAAAGAAAGCCTGCTTCAAAAGAATGCATGTACTTTAATACCAATTACACAACTCCCTTCACCGGATCTAGTTTGTAGTAGTTGCAAACATCACTTCCCAGAGATTTACGTTCTATCAGGCGCCATTTGGCCTTTCTGCAATATGTTCCCAGCCCTTGATGCGATTAGAGAGGGACACTACCCTTATTCTGACAAGCCTTCCATGCAAAGAGTGGCATGCAGGTTTCAGTAGCGCAACTAAAGTACACATATCCTTTTATTTTCTATTTTAACTAGGCTAAGTTTAATGCCAATAAAAATGACCTTCCCATGCTGTGTTTCTAGAATCCTCTTTACCTCACCTCCTGTAAGTGGCTCATCCTGCACAATCTAAAGTCAAATTATACACAGCCTGTTGCATAAATAGATGGTATCCCCTACATTTCCTTAAGCAGGAACAATGTTTAAATGTATCCATTGCTAACACTTTTTGTTTTCTTTTAACTTTTGGATAGCATAAGAACAGGTTAGAATCGATTGCATGTGTCCTGTTGGGGAGATTTATCTTGATTTCCTGCCCCATGGACAAAACAAAGTGTGGGCAAATCCTCTCTTAGCTGTCAACAGAGTCCCCATGGAAGATTTATCCTCTATTCCTGTTCCATTATCAACTGTAAAATTTTGGATTTCCCACCACTTCCTGTCCCTGGGGAACATGGTCACCTCAACCAAGATAAATCTCCCTAAATAAGTCACAGACAGAAAGGAAAACCCTTCTAACTTTTTCCTTATCCAAAAAAAGTTTCTAAAAATCCGGTGTTCTATGTAGATGGTTAATTGTAATTTTTCACCGCTGTAGTTTAACTTTTGGTGAACTTTTCTTTCACAAAGGTTTTATTGTTTTTTTGTGTGTTTTGTATGAAAAATACAAAAGATAAAGTCAAGGCTTGCAAGGTAACAATACAGAAAGCACACATTCTTGGTGCTGCGTAGAGCACAACAGAATACTGTGAGTAACCAACAGACTTGGAATGGAGGGTCCTGAAAAATGTCATAAGGACAGTGCTGTATAGACCTGATCCTCTAAAAAGGAAGGCCCATAGGTCTCACAACATCATGTAACATGACACGGGGTGCAGAGGGGAGGAAACTTGGAAAAGAGAGCAAATTAGGCCACATACACTGTTCCAAAGATGGGGACATGTCCACCAGATGTGGAACATGGTGCCTGGCGTGGTGTAGCCCCGGAAGCAATGCGGAGAGTAGGTTGGAATGTATTTCGCTAGATGGGCAGGCGTGCAATACCAACGATACATCACTTTGTAGGAGTTCCACATTGCGGGAACAGCGGGCCACCCCTGACCAGGTAAGCTGCCAGTCCTCTGGAGTCAGGGACCTACCCAATTCCTCATGCCACTTATGTTGATAAGGAGCAAGAGAGGGAGAGGATGAAGCGAGCAGAGAGAAGTAGATTAGGGAGATGACGCCTGGAGCGTGCGGGTCGGAGTAGCAGCACTCGAACAGGGTCAGTCGTTTGGGGGCAGAAGTGTCCTTTAGCAGTGAGTTAATAAAGTGGCTTATTTGAGTATAATGGTACCATTCCCGGAGGGGATTATTATGAGTTTCATGAAGTTGCTGGAACTATTTCACTCCTGAAAATGAGATGAGAGTATACGGTGGTTAGGTCATTGCGTGACCACCAGGAGAACGAATGAGGGTAGCTAGCACCAGGGGGGAATAAGGGAGAATCGATCCAGATCAGCAAAGGTAGGTGAGGGGACATCAAGTTGCTTGAGTACCTAACCCCATCCCACATTTTCAGGGAGTGGATAATAGGAGTAAGAGTGGGCGGGCGATCAGTCGGAGAAAGCAATAGCCGTGATGAAAGGCATAGGGGGTGGCAGTCTACCATATCCAAGCATGCCCAGAGGGGGAGTACGATTTTTGAGTGCAATAGGGCTAAGGGGGCAATGTTGGCGGCGATGTAGTATGATCGAAGATTCGGGACTGCAAGACCACCACAAGATTTAGAGCGATAGAGCAGTTTTTGATTTATACGGGGTCTAGAGTTGCCACAGATGAACGCAAGTACCTTGCATTGCAGGATGCGGAGAATGTGGCTGGGGAGCGGAAGGACTCGAAAGACGTAAAGCAGCTTGGGCAGGAAGGTCATCTTTACTGCGTGGATCTTGCCTATCCAAGATATAGGAAATCTCTGCCAGGAAGATAGCAAATTGTTGAGGGTTTTCAGGAGAGGGGGGATGTTAGCTGCGTATAAGGTGTCGTATGACGGGGTCAGGTGAAGTATTTAAGAGAGGGGGTCCACGTAAAAGAGAAAGAGAGCTTGAGAGCGGCTACCTTTGGTGAACTTTTGTAGAGTTTGTTAACATCTATGGCAGGGGTCAGCAACCTTTTTTTGCATTAGGTGTCATGTTTACAAGCATTAGACAACAGTGAACAACAGCTCAACATTGTTGTATGGTTTGTTTTTCATTTTTGCGCTCATAGTTGCACTATTAATGGTAAGTTAAACTCAATTATCATATATGTTTAAATTGCTATTACAGTACAATAATAAATGCAAGCATTGATTAACTGGTGCATTCACAAAATATACTCAACCCTTTTGCATGCACTTCAGATCTCAGATCAGTTACAAACCATGTACCTGCAAGAATGCAGGGTAGTGCTGTAGGCATGTGGGTGGGCTTATGTGCAGCAAGGTGCCACCATCCGGCTTTTAGTAATGTCAGAGAGGTGGGTGGGCCAGGCTTTGTCATTGATAGCTAAATGAGCTGTCAATTACCGCCAATGGCAGCAGGTAGTAGCACAAGCGGCATTGTGTGCCTGCCCAGAAATGCCTGCTGAGGGTTGCTGATGCCTGATCTACAGTGAAGCAGGAGTGCGGTATTTCCTATAACACAGAGATCAAACATTCACTTAAATTAATGGAGGTCATGGTCAATGCTCAACCAGAACAGAATGGATCACTGAATGGAGCATGTAGCTGAAAGGGAAGTTGTAGAACTTTAAATGCTTATTTGCTTTTAAAAGAAATTAATTATAATGAAGCAACTCTCAGATGTGTTTAAAGTGTTTCTTCTTAATTCTGCACACGGATATTATAGTAACGAGTAATAAGCATTCCATCTATACCAAAAATATAGTTTCTAACTTTCAATTTCTCAACTTGAAATGTCAGCTTCAATAAAACAGAAAGTGTTAAGAATGTTAGCCATGGTGAAATACACAGAGAAAGGAAAAAGGCAATTACAGTCATCCACAAAAATCTAACAGCCTCTGTGATAGAATCCATGTTATTGTGTCACATAATAGAATTCAATTTTTTATGTTTATAAAAACATATTCCATGTGGTTAGGAAAATAGATATTCATTTTCTAATACAGGTAACATAGAATTAGAGATTTCATCTTCAAAAGGTTAGGTAGAGCTTTTTTCAAGGGACCCAATACTCGTAAGAACCATACACATAAGTGCTAAAAACATGCTATACGCACCGCCTTTTTTTCTTTTTTTTATGATGTGATGCACTTTAAATTATTAGCAATGACCACGTACTTAAAACAATGTGTTCCACCTTTTATGGTGTTTTACCTTTTGCTCAGTTTCAAGGAATCGCTTCAGGTCATTAGAGTCCAGATGGTCCTTGTGGTTACTGTACGTTAACATCAGCAAGTACAGATCCCTCCTTGTGGACATCATCTTATAGAATGCACAGAACTCATCAAAGCCAAGGGTTCCTTGGTTGTCATCTGTATCTGCTTCCTAAGAATGTAGAGAAGGATACATTACTATTAGACAATTTTAAAGCACCAAAAAACACAATTTTAAAGGCAAACTGTGACAGTTGTGGGTCAAATCCAAACTTACTAAAAGTTTATACATTAGACTGATGATTTTTTTATTCATTGTATGTAATATGTAAAGGGTGTGTATATATCAATCGAATATGCCTATACAGAAATACATGCAAAAACAATGACAACTCCAAACACAAAATATATAACATGTATATTTATTAATTATTGGTATTAAGTCTTAAAAAGGGGGTGCTTAATGCCAATAGTAAAAACAGCTAATTGGGTAGATAGTCCCTAGAGGCTCTTTCCACATACACAATACACTTTCCATTTACAGAACAAACATGATTCACCATATGATTTTATAGACATACATGATTGGGGTTAGTACAGTCAATACCCAGAATTCTATAAAAACCCAAAAATATACAGAAATGCTCGCGGGGCTGTGGAGTGGAACAAATACTCTCTACTAACACTGCCCTAGGAGCTGAGTATGGCCATTAGAACACAACACGATTCAATTAATTGATAAGGAAAAAATTGTTGTACATGATCTAGGTACAATAAATAACCATAATTCATTCATTCTATGTAAATGTCAGACAATTCATATATATAACAAAATTTAAACCTGAGATCAGTACTCAATTTTATGGGGTGGAGCAAGCTTACTAGCCCTGTCCTACAAACAAGGTGTGGCCACCATAGTGTGCTGAGTTTTAATAATACTTGTTTTGGAAGAGTGACGATACTTGTTAGACCTGATCAAAATAAGACCAAGATTATATTTCATGAATTCCCCCCTATATCATGATGCCACAAATATAGATGGTAATATGATCGATGGTGATTGCTAATGGAAGGTTAATTGAATCATGTTGTGTTCTAATGGCCATACTCTGCTCCTAGGGCAGTGTTAGTGGAGAGTATTTGTTCCACTCCACAGCCCCGCAAGCATTTCTGTTTAGGCCTATCTTTATGAATTCCGGGTATTGGCTGTACTAACCCCAATCCTGTATGTCTATAAAATCATATGGTGAATCATGTTTGTTCTGTAAATGGAAAGTGTATTGTGTATGTGGAAAGAGCTTCTAGGGACTAGCTACCCAATTAGCTGTTTTTACTATTGGCATTAAGCCCCCCCTTTTTAAGACTTAAAACAATTAATTAATAAATATACATTTTATATATTTTGTGTTTGGAGTTGTCATTTGTCGGTGCTTCCAAAACCCCACTTTTCTTTCCTCCTAAAGTTTTTGCATACTATTACTAGGGGTGTGGCACCGAGTATCCAGATCCAGGCCAAAATTTCTTTATCCAATATACAGAAATACACACACAAGCTCTATTGTACAAATAAACATTTAATATAGGATATAGTAATTCCAGAGTACTCTGGGTTACAAGTAATTCTCTGTCACACCGTCTCTACTCATATATAGCCTTCTGATAAGGGACATGTCACTGCTCTGACTTATTTACTTGTATGTAAATTTAAGTTTCAGCAATTAAGCTATATGATCAATAGCTTTTTATTTCTTTAGGTGGTAAATAGAAAATGGGGGAAAAAGGTTGAGAGGTACACTTTACAGCTGGATATAAGCAAAGAACATTATTCAAATGCAATATTCTTATTTAAATGGAAATCATTTTACTATTTCAAAATATACCACCTTCATTGATACTAGAAAATTAAGCCCTAATCATAAGAAACAAAATGCAATGCACAACACTACTATACAATGCCTATAAGGCAGCAGAATGAAGGTGCCCTTACATAACACAGTAAAAAACAGATGCAGGCAAGATTTTTGAAACAGCAAAATTAATACTATTGCTGAACATAAGGTGCATGGGATTGATAGTAAAGGCATAATATGATTTCATTTCTTGGCCCAGCTCATGTCGGGCTATATACAATAATACAAAATAAAGAAGAAGATTAAAGTGTTTGTACAGCCAAAAGTTATCTTTTAGTTTTGGATAGAGTAGTGATAAGCCACAACATTTGTTTTTTTTTGTGTCCCATTGGGGAGATTTCCCTTTAATTTCAGTTCTGGAGATGCAGCAAGAAGTGAGAGGAAATCTCAATAAAGAGATGTGAATTACCCCCTTAGGGAGTTGTTACTAAAACAAATGTCTCCATTGGAAGATTTTTCCATCGTCTTTTGTTCCGGAGACAACTGTAAAGTTTTGGATTACCCCTCACTTTATGTCTCAGTGACAAATCACCAGGACAAATATAGAGGGTGAATTTCCCCAGCAGGGATGCAAAAAGCACTATCGCATTGACAGGGTTTCTAGTACCTCACTACTTTGTCCAAAGCTTTAAAAGACAAAAAGTTATGGCTATACATACATTTTTTAAGCTGAAGGTTGAACTAATTTTAAGCATGATGTTAAACTATCCAAATTATCAGCTCTTCCTTAGGCTGCATTCATTCACACATATCGTTTGCAGTTCCTGCACGGTTTCCCGCGCAGAAGACCGTGCTTGATGAAACCGCTAATGTTTTTTAATCCACGTGGATGCTGCTCGTTTGCAGCCATTAAAAAGCCGCGAACGTGCAGAATCTGGCGCATTATCACGCTTGCACTATTTCGGGGGCCGCGCGGTCCCCGCAATGGTGTGATTGAAGTGCATTGTTTTTTGTGTTTGAGCGGCTCCACGTGTATCCGTAAAGCCGAATACGCGCAGAGAGCCATTCAGGTGTGAATGGAGCCTTAGGCTTGTAAAGTGTGGTGATAAAAATTAATTTCCTGTAGCAACCAATCAAATTTCAACTGATATTTCTACAAGGTAGAGTTGGAAATGCAACGGTTATAGTCAAAATGAAATGGTCTTTATTAGAATACCTTCCTAGGGTGTCCATGCCATTTAGATTGCATGATGCTGTCAGCACCGATATACAAAGAGATAATGACATCTCCTATTGCACCGTGAGGGTTAGAGTTTTGTACTCCGGTCCTCCCTGAGGAAGGATTGTATGTATGCATGTGAAGCCTAACAATGAACGCCTCTTATTTGCTCTCTCCTGGTCTGCAATATATACCACTGAAAGCATTTTGTTATATCTATTTGAGAAGTATAAAAAAATACCACAAATCTCGTGAGCTGATAATTTCATGTGACTTTGCACAATGAGGGGTTATGAAATAAGGAGAGGTCTGTGTTCTTTTTAATGCATCTCAAATAAGGTGAGCAGGGCTGACAACGTGGGCTTTGGAATTCAGAGCCAAAAATATATAAGTGGAAGGTAGGAGCAGGTTAGATTTCCGGCACATTAGCAATTTTTTTTCTGTACTTGCAGTGTGTTTAAAACAAATGTGCACATATTGCAAAGATCTACAAAATATGTGTTTTTTTTGTTTTTGTTTTAATTTTGCCTAGACATATGCTTGAAGGTTTTTTAACTTGAAAATGCCTCAATATTCCCCAAACATTAATGTGTAATGATACCTAAATAGTGGCATATTTTATTGAGTCTAAAACAGAATAATTAGTAAGGGACATCTTGGCAAGCAGGTAGCAAACAAATTCAGACTCTAGGAAAAATAATCTCCTTATTTGCAATTTTTCTACTCTAAAAATAGGCATGCAAACATTCTGGAACAGTTTATTCTGTGCAGATAATTAGATTCCTTTTATTGTTATATCTGAATTTTCTTCTCTTGCTAAACAGATTCAACATATCAGGTACTTTGAGGCACCCTTAGGCCATGTTATCAGCAAAATGATTAGAATCCATGTTTTCCTTCTATATGGCAGTAAACATAACTTTATTCCACACCTCCATAATAATTACAGTAGCACACTTGCGAATGTAAAGTCTCCTTCAAAGCTACAGAGAAGATTAAAAAGCAAGCAGGGTAATGCACATCTAAAATAAAAGAAATATAGATTTTTTACAACCCTGCAGATGATACGGAGATCAGAGTAAAACTTCAAAGGGAAATAAAAAATGATTTTTGGTCAATGTTATCTTTTTTTTTATATGCTTATAATTGCATACACTGATATTTTATTTCTCCAATCATCTTCCAGGACAGCAAGCCTACTTCAAAAACTCAGGTTGCTGTCCTGGAAGATTCTTAGAAATACTGTTACCGGTAAGACTAACTGTAGATTTGAGTAATTAAGCGGCTTTAGGTCAGGTGCGTATGTTGCCTGAGAACCTGCCATTTACATTTCCCCCTTTCTTGTACTTGTATTTGTATATGTATAGATACAAACAATACATAGAAATAAGGTTTTTTAAGATGTTAACATACTGTACATAGTATAAGTTGATTGCACTCACATATACATAAAGTCCAAGACACTATCTTTAATGGACATCCCATATTAACCAAGTTAAAACAAGAATTCAGGCTTGGGGTTTTTAAAGAATACAGAAGTGTCAAATTAACCACTTTGTAATGTTTATGTTATTAAGCAAATGAAGCTATCTGCAGATCAATTACACACAAATTTGCTATAGATTAAAACCACCCATGGAACACTTGGAGTGATCCTGTTCTAAAGCTATAAAAAGCTGCTCATACGGATCTTACATACTGTGGTCGAGAGAAGTAAAGAGATCAGTCGGGTATTTCAGCATATACATTAGATATAGTTGAGCTGCTTGTATAGCAACATGCGGGTACACATTGTACACATTGCATAGGGGTCAGCTGCAGTGGTTGAAAACAATAAAGCTAAGCTATATGTAGCATGTACTGTATATATGCATCTTGTGGATCCATATCAAAAGAATTGGATAAATATATATGTAAGCAAAAAAACATCTTTAAGTTTGAATTATATAGTCATAAGTGATATTACATAAAACAAGAATTGTTCATATATTGCGTAGTCATATTAAAGTAGGAACCCAGAAAGTGAGTAAGTGGTAGCCCTGCCCACACCCTCTCCCAGTTAATGTGATAGTGCTACAGACAGAAAGCTTCATGGCTACTATG